GTGCAGCAGGGATGTGTAATTCACAGGACTGGCTTAACAGAAATACAAGTACTTTTGGTATGTGTATTTAATCTGTGTATTTGTGGCATGTATCCATCCACAAACTGCTGATTGGCTGATAAAAGAGTACCAGATAGCTAAACCAACAATTTTGCTCACTCTGCTCTCTCTTCCTATCAGTATGTTCCCTGCCAGCACATGTGTGTGCAGTAGAGTCTGATTATTTCAAATCTTAATGCAACTGGGCAGTGGATGACAGAAGCTGATATTAGGACATATCAAGGTACTAGTTGCTAGTTATAAAACACATGGGCCCTCCTTACCAACTTGTCTTGATTTTAAGTAGAACTGACATGGGTTGGAATCTCTGTCTAGTTGTTTTATTCTGTCTTTTTCTCCACTTTTCACCATTTCCTGCTCTGGTGTCAGCCTGGGTGTCAGGGTGTCATTGGGACATGATGTGTGGGAAACTTTTCCAAACAGGCAAACAGACAGCAAGAAACATCATGGAGGTTCTACCCCTTCCCTACCCTATCCAAACTACATTAATACTGCTGCAATAATAATAATATTATTATTACTATTTAAAACAATACACAACTGCATTTATGTCTGCCTTTTCAAAGTTCAGCTTTGATGTGCTTAAAAAAAATATATGTTTTAAATGAGCATTAAAATCAGCTTACAATATTTAAATATTAGAGAGTTAAAGAAAAAGTAATCTGAGTCCATTCTCATGTAAATATCAATTCACCTTTATTGGTGGTCCTGTAAAATTAATTGGAATGCTTCCTTTAGACTTTAGTGATGGGACGTGTCAGCATGCTTCTGTTAGACCAATATACACTGCCAGATGTGGGAGATATCATTAGTACTATTACATTAAGCATTTCCTTTAATTCATCATGTAATGAAAGGGTGAGATGTACACATGGCTTTTCTGGTCTGAACGACATGCCCTATTCTGAATAATGACTAGTTACGAGTAGCCTAAAGGTTATATACATTTACAGAATTGGACATGCTTGACTTTAATAATGTATCTTTTATATTGTCCAACCAGTCTTTAGTATCACTTTCTTCAGATAATGAAAGGGTAATAAAGAGAGCACAATTAGCCTCTTATCCTCCAGGTAAAAAGCATCTGGGTTTTAAGAGCCTGTCATTGAGAGCAGAGATCCTGCTGTGAGTAGCTGAACAATGAACTGATGTCAGATTATCCACTGAACATTTGCTGGGAAGGTAGTGGTAACATAATGACTGTTATCTTCAGATTTGTCAATACCACTAAACTCAATGATTTCTCTCTTTACCTCATGCCAGCCATACATAGCCAAATCTTTCATCAATATGACAAAATCAGATACTTGCAACCATGCAACCTTAGCAGATAAGACTTTTGTCATTAAAAAATATATATTATTTAAAAACTTTAGCGTGCAATGATACAACTTTTCATGCATCCTTCAAAAAAATTCCCATAGGATACAAAGTATGCCCTGTTTATGTAACAGCTTACAAAAACACCCCATCTGCTTGCCTGTGGGCTGCACTTTCCATTAGAGTGCCCTGAGACCTAAGGTATTCTATAAGGCAAACAGCAACCAGCTTGTACAACCATGTGCTCTTGCCTACCCCCTCTCTCTGGCCACTATCACTCAGCAAGGTCACTAATCATATCATGGACCAATAGAGCAGTGTGGGAGGTGGGCAGAATCCACGGCTACAGGGGTTGGTCTCGATTAGAATAGTAAGGCTTTCCCCAGAGCCCTAGAAACTGAAATGTAAAGATCTAGAAGAATGCAAGAGCCTCCAAAATCTAGAAAGGAGAGCCAATGTGGCAACACAGTGGCTTAGTGGTTTGCACTTCTGCCTTGCAGCACTGGGGGCCCCTGCAAGGAGTCTGCATGTTCTCCCAGTGCTTGTGTGGGTTTCCTTCTGGTACTCTGGTTTTCTTCCTCACTCCAAAGGCTTGTAGGTTAACTGATTCCTGTCTAAATTGGCCTTGTATGCGTGTGCAATTGGGACTTTAGATTGTAAGCTCCTTGAGGGCAGGGACTGATATAAATGTGTAGTATGTAAAGCACAGCGAAAATTGACGGCACAATATAAATATAAATAGTATGATTCTTATTACAAAAAGGAAAATAACCACCTTACTACATTTTAACCTACATGGTAGGACACTGCTAATAATTTGTAGAAACAAATACATAAAACCGATATAAAAAGAAAGCAAAATGCCTCAATAATCATGTACAGTGGTGGTATTCGGACTGGTTGCTTTAACTTTATATAAAAAGTAAATGAGATCTTAAGCTTTTCTGGCCAGAAATCCATGTGACAAATATTCCATATATTGACAATGGTCAATATCTGGCCTTTCATTTACAACTATGTGTCTATATATATAACATTAGACCACGTGACTGTTCTTTTCTTTCTTTATTTCTCAGGAGCACTGAACTGAATGTCTTTATGACTCAGTACAGAGCGCTTTCAAACTACATGGTAATTTTTCCCCATAAGGGAACAACTAAGAAACCTGGAAACTCTTAACCTATTACAACATATGTCAATATTTTGGGACAGAGTTCCATGCAAACGTTCTTACACTGGTACCATGATTTCAATGTATTACCGTATACCTTCAGAAACTCCTTTTGAAATGCTAAATTAATAATATGGTAATAGGTACCATACAGATTTCAAGAGTTGTGTGATGTTAGGCATGAGTGGCAGCTGTCATAAAACATGTGCTGTTAGTTTCAACCAATTCTATATGCAGTACTATCATTATAATAGTTTTAAATTGGCCTATTTAAAAACAAAGTTTACTGAAGACATAGTAATCCCATTTGAATAAGAACATTTTAGATGATAGTAGAACACTTATATAATGAACTAAAAGAGTGATATCGGCAAAAAGATTATCCCATGTAATACTGGCTAGTCATGTTTAAACTTTATTCTTCAGTGGCTGCCTGCCAACTGAAGAGCATGGTGTGCTTGACACATCCCAGACATAATAATCACTCTTTATGATGACCACAAAGAGTTTTCAAAACTACAGGCTCTATTTTAGGTGTGTTCAGCAAACAGAAACATGTGTGGACACCTGCACTCACACACTACAGAAAAGATATCCACCACTACCTAGGCACCTTGTTGGTGGATAGCTCCAGGCTGAAGATGACTATACAAAAAGGTGATAGCTAATGGATGTTGATTGGGTACAGGGAATGATTTGCAATTTAATAAAATTAGTGTTTACTAATAGGGACAAATGCTAACGTGTGGCATCTATAAGAGGGTAGAGTTACTGTACAGTTAGAACAGCAAAATAATTCAATTACAGTATAAAGGATTAACACAGCCCACCAATTTGTACAGGTAATCTTTGTGACTAGCAGAAAGTCTTCTTGTGACTTGATCAGGTAAACTCTTTTGGAATGTCTTTTTAGAGATTGCCTTTTGCCTTAACTTTCAAATTGCTGTAAAAAGAAGACTAGGAATTTGCATATGTCCTTTAGCACTATGATACTACTGCAGAGGCAAGTGAACAAGGAAAGGAGATTCCAACCTTAAGTGGTTTTGCAGGATTATGGTAAATAAATATACACTTTGGTATACATTGGTATACACAGGCAAAATGCATAGTTTGTGGCTTTGGATACAGTAGTCTAGCTGCAGTATGGACCAGAGTAACAATTAAAACGCTGTTAATTATCTAACTAAAGAAACAAATGCAAAGTTATATTATTCAGTAATGATATACAGTTTCGAGTCAGATGCTGTAAAATGTGAAATGTGTTAGTTCACTATTCTGTACTCTAACACTGAGAAACCCCAATTCCGTTAGCTGTTTGTTGGATTTGCAGAAATGAGAAGGGGTAAAATAAGTGTTGTTAACTATTTCTTTCTTGATATTTATTCTTTTTTTCTCTTTCATCTTCCTCTATATGTGCCACACTGTGTTTGCAATTAGCAACACATGTGTAACCCATAAGTAACACCAATAATGTATGACACCAATTTATGTGAGAACTTGTATTCTTATCGCCACTTGAGTGCTGCTGCTACTCTGATAGAATGAGCCAGTTAAGCCTCATAAACTGATCATTTATTCTTTGAAAGCCCAACTCCTTTCAAAACATTTATCTGAGCAATTATTGATAGGTGAAGAAGAGCTAGACCCTCAATCAGATATGTATTGCTGCCTGTGCTCCCACTGAAAAGATCATCTCATGTTCCATTCTCCTACAAAAGTACACTAACAGTTTTACAAATACATTTTTAAATAGAACTGAGATGGGTTGGAATCTCTGTCTAATTGTTTTATTCTGTCTTTATCTCCACTTTTCTCCATTCCCTGCTCTGGTGTCAGCCTGGGTGTCAGGGTGTCATTGGGACATGATGTGTGGGAAACTTTTCCAAACAGGCAAACAGACAGCAAGAAACATCATGGAGGTTCTACCCCTTCCCTACCCTATCCAAACTACATTAATACTGCTACTATAATAATAATGTTATTGTTACTACAACTACTACTAACATGCTAACACAAAATTACCTTTAAATCTGTACCTTTATTTATGGATGTACCCATGGGCATTTGTATTAACCTTTACATTGGTCTCTGTATTATATACATTTATTTTACATCAAACTATTGAAAGATAAGGACTTGGAAAGTTACCACCAGAATTATTTGTAGATGTGGGCTTACTCACGCTAGGTTTATTTGACAATTTAAACAGCTGTTCCTTACCAAGACAGATGTTTAACAAGTAAGCTCATATATTACATGACGCATTGTATAGGTTTAAAAAAAAAGCTGCACCTTATAACTATAGCTGCTCTTTATCTCACAAAATAGTTTTAGGTTATAACATTATTTCAGAAATATGCTCTTTACATTATGTCACTATGGGATCCTGAATGGGTCTGTATACCGCAAACTTTTCTTTAACTCATTGGAAATGCCGAACACTTCCTACCTTTGTACAAGTTTTTAGGTACTTGGCATGTGTGGCCGCATCCATTCGAACAGCACTTCTTTACCCCAGAGCATTCATTATCTGCATCGCAACTTTCAACACAGGCTGCTGCAAATCCACTGGCTTTTTCTGGAGCGGGGCATTCACCTTGCTTTGCCGACAAGATGGATTTGAGAAACTCACAGCTGGTTAAACATTCATAGTGCTTCTTGGGAAACAGCGGCTGAAACAAGGAAAGGTACATTTAGTTTTATCTGTGATGCTACAAAGAAAATTTAAAAAAATAATGAAGAGCTCAGTAAAGGTAAATGAAGCCCACATAGATACATGCATTAAACAGGATCTGTCTGAAAAGTCTTGGTTGTTTAAAAGGCATCGTTATTGGTCCCAGGCCCTTTTTTCAATTCCAGTGCATTTATGTGACTCATAGTGAAGCTGATGTTGTACAGGGTAGTACGTAACCTAGAAATCAAAGAACAGCTGCTGCATTGGGAGGGCTGAAGCTGCTTATCACACAGGTATAAACTGTTATGACCGATCTAAAACTTTCATATGGCCAAGTGTTAACATATTATCTGATTTTAGATCTTTAGATATATCATTCCCTAATCAGGAAAAAATCTAGTGTGTTTTCTGTTTTACTATTAGATATTATTTTAGTGATTACTGTCAAGTATTTCATTGTTGTTCTTACATATTTTATTATTGCATAAACGTTTGTGTTAAGCTAAAACCTTTTAGTTAGGTGATCTTTTCCCACTAGGGAGATTTATCTTCAATTCCTGTCACACACAGCAAGAAATGAGGAGCAATCTCCCCAAAATAAAAGACTCTCAAAAAAACTGAAGATTAAAAAAATGAATCCACTGCTGTAATCCAAGGGTCAATCACGACGTCCAGCATTGTCCACGCTGCCGCAGACTCGTCGAAATAAGAAAAACCCGACGCCCACCGATCCAACTGCACGCGACGAACACCCGCCACAAAATGAAATTCTGACAGATGCCAGCAAAATATAAACAATTGGGCGGAGCTAGCGGTGAAACCCCTAGCTCCACCTGTGGTCGTTCGATGACATGCCACTGTCCTCAGGTCATTTTTTTTGACTATTTTTTTTTTAACACTTAACTTTATTGTTATCACATAGGGGGTAAGAAGCCCCCTATGTTATATCAAATTATAGTGGCAGGTCATCTTTATGGAGACATCAGGGGCCTCTAAGACCCTTTTCACCTAGAGACCCCCACAGAAGATCTGCTTCACCAGCTTCTCCACCTTCTGGAATCAGAGAATGACAGCCGAATGTGGAAGTAATAAACATCACTCCTGCAATCAGAGAACAGGGAGGAGATCAGAGGGAAATAGTGTACTGTTCTCATACCGATCTCCCTGCACAGAGCCGCCAG